CCTGTAACTAAGTAAAACTCTATCGTGTACAAAATGCAGCAGCACGCTTGTCACTCGTGCAAATAAATTTCAACTTATTTCATCATAAGCGATTGGTTCCGGTCGCATTTTAAATGTTCGATGCTGTAGAAATAAATAACCACCATGTTTTGACCTGGATGTCGTTCTTTGACTGACAGGTCAAATCGCTAATTAACATTATCATAACTCATTTACATATGTGAATGTTATTGGACGCAGCCTAGAAGCGATTTGCTGATGTTGTTGTATGATCTTTTGGCTTGGATTTTGATGGGAAAGCGGCATGATTTGTTTTTAAATAAAAAAAAATAGTTGTTTTCAAAAGATAAACAGAGCATTTGAAGAATAATTTAATATTGTTTACAGTAATAACAGCTGATTGTCCAAACGAAGCTTACCCATTCACGCTAGTCGCAATAAACGTCATAGGTCATACTCTTGAATAGGTGTCAATGACCATGGTGAAACTTTTAGGCATCAGAAAAGATTAAAATAACACACCCTAAAAAAACTGCCGAAAAATAGCCCTTTCATGGTCCCATTTTATTTTTTTAAAAACCTGAACTGCCGTTTAACGGCCCAGGGCGAATTTATGGCAGAATCCAGTACTAGGCAAAACAAATTAACTGAGGTGTAACATCCATGCTATCAGCAGCTTTACAACCTGTATATATCACATGTTTTAACAACTAACTGGTTCATTACTTTTTGCTGAACATCCTATCTTGTAAAACACATCAGAACAGATCAAATGAAACCAACTCAAAAAGACATCAAAAAATTTGACTAGAAATCTTGCATGTAGACTCACTTGCTACTTAGTGTTTTTTTATTACTGACGTTGAGTTATCAGTACTGCAAATGATCACAATGACAGAGCTGCGATAGGTTCCTGATGTGTGTCTGAAATAAGGCAATTTGGCACACCAACTACCGTAGTGGATTAGCAAGGTCAATGGAGACTTTTATAGTGATGAGGAAAGTGTGTTTGAGAACATATACGAATTGAAGTTAAGCTAGAATGAGTTAGACCAAATGCTTATTTAAATGACACAATTTGTATTCATTGCGCCTGAGTCATTTGCATTAGATTTGAAATTGTTTTGGCAATCCTTCACACCACTGAATTGTTTTTGATTGTAAAATCTGCAAATTCAATTCAAGTCAACACTAAAATGGGAAGTTCTGACAGCCTGAAATCATTGAAAATTTAATGAACATATTCATTCAGCAAATTCAGACCACCAAATACTCCACATAATCATATTAAAGGGGAGCAGAGGTCTGGCTTTTGACACTGTACATGAAAGGTGTTGTGCGATTCATGTTAATTTTCCGACCGGAAAACGACCGCATTTTTATCATTTTTTTTTCTCTAGCTCACTACATGAAAATACCAACCACTCACCCAAACACTGGTCACTGGTACAGGAGTTGTTTTTATCGACAGAAAATAATTCATAGATCTCAGATTTCATGTACAGAGAGTGCCAAAAGCCAGACCTCTGCTCCCCTTTAAGTCACATGACCCCACTAAAGCTTCATGAGTAATCTCAGAGTGCAACTTTAAAATGAAACCTGTATAGTGTGTAACTTTATGGAATGTCACAGATGGTTCCCATTTGCTTATACAGTCAAACATTGCTGTCTGTCTAGTTATCTTTGTGCTCGTGCGGAGGGGTTGTCGCGAACGTGTCCTTGAAACTTGAGTCCCACGTGGCAAATACAACAGATTGTTTATTTACATCAAATTCAAACAGGTGTTGCATGACAACCCCTTCGGTTTAAGACATAGCAAAGAAAAACATAGATCACAAGTGAAAATAAAACAAATTGAGGTGCAGGTCTATGTTATTGCACTTGCTAAAATTGTTTAAAGTATGTTTGAGAAAATGCAAGTCTGAGGATCGGAATGAGGCACTAAAATCACATTACCATGCTTGTTGCCATGGTGCCCTACAATAAATCTTTACATGGGGCTTACAATGTTAACATATGTGTAATGACCAAATCTGAGATTCAGGGAATACAGCAATTGCAACTCTTTGTAATTGTATTGTTAGTTCTGGACTTGGCTAATAGACCTTTTGTACAAATCAAGCATTCTCTTGTGTTGAATAACATGGTGAAAGCAGTGTCCTCAAATTTGCAGTTTTAATAAATATCAGTTCAAAATAATGTGTTGAATACAATTTAATGTTTGTCATGCCTCTAATTTAAATTCACATGGCAGGGGGTGTCAAACAATGGTGATCTACTGTAGAATACTTTATTTTCGCTATTTTCGCTGAATGGATGATTCCGTGAAAATAAAATCCAGCGAATATACTTTTTTCCCCTATATTTCACATTAAATTCATCAAAAATCAGTGAAAATAAGTTCCATACAAAACGCCCAAAAAGCCTTTTCAGCGAAAATTAATTCCAGCGAAAATAAAGTATTCCACAGTATCTGTGAATTACACTTGCCCATCTATATCATAAAATTAAAAGAACTTCCCCCGCAAGGGGGATAGTTCGTCAGTTTATTTATAGTGTAAAACATCCATATCCCCATAACCATATCAAAGAGGCAAAAAGCAATCTCAGATATGTGAAAGGTGCTTGCTTGCTGTGACAAAATGCAATAAGACATGTAATTGACAAATCAAACAGTAGCATCAATGTGAATCACCCCTGAGGGTGAATGGCAAGCAGAGTTTGAGTGTAGGTCAGAATAACTGGCATGTCAAAAAAGAGTATGCTAGGCACAGGCCCGATTCAAAAATGTCTAAGCAAGTCCAAGTTATCACATTTTAAACAAACAAGATGGCCACCCGTTAGCCATATTTGATCAAACTGCAAATTGAATTGACATGTACATGCATCCATTTATGACATGCTAACTATCATTGAAAATGATACAGGGATAAGATATAGTATATAGTAAAAACAGCCGTTATTCGGCCATCTTTGATCTGATTAGGAAACAAACTGACATGTACCGTAAAAACTCAATTAATTCGCGGTAATAAAAATAATTATGTTTTCAAGTGCGCGAATTAATAGCGTAAAAACGGAAATTATTGGTTTTTGGTGCGTGAATTAAAAGAGTACTTTTAGATCGATTCAAAAAGGAGCTGTAAATTTATTAATCTTTACCGAACCTAAACTGCTTGCTAACTGAAAGGCTGTGATGACGGAGATCATCTGCGATTGCGACTACACCAAGTACTGATAACATGAAAAAGGTACATTTTTAATGTCTTCATGTAATATATTCTGAGTTATCCACTTTATTCTGGCCCGCAAATTAATAGGATACAATTTGAAACATGTTTTTGAACGCCGCAAATTAAAAAGATACATTTAAAAATTAGCAATCGAAAATAAAATGGGTGCACGAATTAATAGAAACCGCGAATTAATCAAGTTTTTATGGTATGATGAATGTTCCAAATACAAATGAAAATGGCACATAAATATTGGAAATATAGTACTATAAAATGACTATTAAATTTTCACTGGGTTTCAATTTCACTGATTTGCCATTACAGGCATATTCAGTGGGTTTTAAATTCACGGTTTTATCATTTAGATAATGTGTTCTATGCTAAATTTTACATATTCACTGGGTTTTAATTTAGCGCATTTTTCAGTCAGCGAAATGAGCAAAATTAAAACCCAGTGAATAATTAACCTTTTTACAGTAGTTAGGCCAAAAGGTAAGATGGCTGTCAATCGGCCATCCTTGATCCGATTTTGAAACAAATTGTCATGGACATGTATCCTAACATATATAAAGTATGTGGCAAATTTGAATGAAAACTGACAAAGCATGTCCAAAATACAACATTTTCAAAAAACAAGAAGGCTGCCTGTTGGCCATTTTGAATCAAATCGCTGAACCACTGCATGTGCATATATCCCACATAAAGTACTAGGCACATGCAAAGAATGAATGAAATTGGTCCAAAGGATTCTGAAATATGACTCCAGACAGATGGACAGACTAACAGACAGATGGATGACATGTATCCTAACATGTATAATCTATGTACCAAGTTTGAATGAAACAGACAAAGCATGTCCAAAATACAACATTTTCAAAAAACAAGATGGCTGCCAGTCGGCCAATTTGAATCAAATCGCTAAACCGCTGCATGTGCATATGTCCCACATAAAAACTAGACACATGTAAAGAATAAACAGAATTGGCCCGAAGGATTCTGAAATCTGACTCCGGACGGAAGAATGGACAGATGCACAGATGGACGCATGGATGGAGACCGAATTATAATCTAATTATCACACTACCTACCCTGTAACAGTTTATCCAGTTCTTTAGATCCTGTGGTGATTTGAATTATTTCAGACCTTTGTTGGTGAAACTGTGTTGCTGTTGTGAAACCCATTGGAACTAATTTTTGAGATTCATTCTGGAAATAAAAAGATTTAATAATTACGCCTATTAGCTAAATTTATAGTCATGAGACAATAATTATAGTCATGGTGCCATAACTACATTCACTAAAACAAGCCATGCATGGCACAGTCCCTGTTAGTTATCAAATTTAAGATATATAGTTTTGTTTATAGTAATATAGCTGGAATATAACCATGTCAGGAATATGATATTTTTAACATAAAAATGATTGACATTTGTATCTGATCATCAAACTAGTACCGGTACTTGTCCATATTGAGAGATATTGCTCTGGAACAGCATTAATTAAAACAAAATCAGCCATTTTGAATACATGTATATATATATAACATGATGTTTATTGTTATATTATAAAGAAATTTCCTTGCTCAGTATATTTGGTAAAATTTTTACTTCGATACTAAATAGACAGCTGTATTTTTGGGCAGAAGCACTTGGTAAGATCGACGAAGCACAGGCGGAATTCAGGAAGGGTTACTCAACGTTTGATAACATTTTTATTATGCAGTCAATTATTCAAAAGTACATTACAAGAAAACGAGGAAAATTTTATTGTGCGTCGTCGATTTTTCGAAGGCTTTTGACACTGTTGACAGACAAAGGTTGTGGTATATTCTGTTAAAGGGGGGTATAAACGGGAAAATGTTTAAAATATTGTCCAGCATACATGTATATTCAAACGTGAAATCTTGTGTCCGCACCCCAAAGACCGAATATTTTGACTGTCCTGTAGGCGTTCAGCAAGGCCGCATGCTATGCTCTTTTTTATGTTCCTTTTTCATAAACGAACTGTCCTTTGAATTGCAGCAACGCAATGATCATGGCATACAGCTATCGCCCGACCCTGTCAAACTTTTCTGCTTATTATTTGCAGATGATGTAGCAATGTTTTCAGATACAGTGATCGGGTTGCAAAAATCTCTTAAAATATTAAGTAGTTACTGTGACAGGTGGAAAATGGAAGTGAATGGGGACAAAAAAAAAAGTTGTGGTTTTTAAAGCTGACGGCCACTTGTCTAAGAATGAAAAATGGTTTTATAAAGGTGAAGAAATCAAGGCAGTTTCCTACTATAAATATCTTGGGGTTGAATTTTCTTGTCGACTTCTATGGTTGACAGCAACAAAGGTTTTATCACAACAAGCCAAAAAGGCCATGTTTGCCATTATGAAAATAAGTGACAAAACAGGTCCCCTTAATTATCAAATATGATGCATTTTTTTAACTTTTTGACTCCAATTTTAACATATGGTGTTGAAATTTGGGGGTTTCGACAGGTTGCCAGATTGCCTAGAATGAATCCAGTTTCTTGCTTGTAGGTATTACATTGGTGTCTCACAAAAATCCCCAAACAGTTGTTTATTAGGCAAGTGTTGGAGGTATCCCATTTTTCTATATACCGCGAAACGCTGTGCAAAATATTGGGCAAATTAATTAACATGCCCCTTAATAGATATCGCCGTAAATTGTATGATATGCTGTACAGTATAGAAGAGCCTAGGGTTAGAAATAAGCATACATGGATCACTGATATAAAGAATTTGTTATTTATTTGTAATATGCAATATGTTTGGTACAGTCAGGAATTTAACAATACAAGCACGTTTATGGAAACATTTACTGTTAGATTTAAATGTTACTTGCAGCATAACTGGCTAAGTGACATATGTCATACATATCGCATACATATCATACATATCGCGAATTTAAAACAGAACTACAGAGGGAAAAATATCTTACTTCGGTCACTATAAACTCCCACAGAAAAACCTTAGCACGTTTCCGTTGCTCTTTGCATAGCCTGCGCATCGAAACCGACAGGGGAACTCTAGAGAGAACCCAGCGGCTTTGTAAAGTCTGTGATACAAATTAAATTGAAAACGAATACCACTTCCTTTTAGTATGCCCATTTTATTCTGAATTTCGTCAATTGTATCTTCCAAAATATTATTTCCACCCTCCATCTTTACATAAATTTGTAGAATTATTAACTTCACAAGAAACCAATATAATTAAAAGTTTGGCAGCCTATGCTTATCACACATTGAAACTTACAAGCAATATTGCTGATTGTGTTAATTTTAGAATATTTATGTATATACTTTTATGGGCCGATGGCCTTGAACTTGTACATAAAGACCATATATATATCGGATATACATCAAAATCGGATATAACATGATGTATATAACGAATATATAAAATTTGAATATAATCAGTCAAAGCATTTAAGAGAAATGGCTCTAGAAGCCCAATCATTAAAACAAAATGGCCGCCAGTCAGCCATTTTGAATCCAATCTGAAAAATACAAGTCATTGTCAATGACGCGTCCCCGTTCCGTTCATATTTGAGTGACATTACAGACCACTTCCATGTATCATGTGTGTGTGAAGTTTGAACTTGATCAATCCAGACATGTCTCGGATATGGATCCAGAACTGAATTCTTTAAAACAAAATGGCCGCCAGTCGGCCATTTCAAACTAGATCCGAAAAAAAAAACAAGCAGCCTATCGGCTGAGATAGCTCCGCTGTTAGCAATGCACATTTCAATTAAAGAACCGAAGACATCATTAGAAAATGAACAATATGAATAGTATCAAAGCAATCGGACTTACAGTTTTTAACAAGAAGTCGAAAATATCACTTTTTACCAAAAATTACAAAAATATTCACCAAAATAAATTAATTAGAGAATTGAAGATATCATCACGAAATGAACAAATCTGAGAGAGGTCCACATGTAGTACCTATATATGTAGTATCAAAGCAATTGGACTTGCGGTTTTTAATAAGAAGTCGAAAATATCAGTTTTTACCAAAAATGACAAAAATATTCACCAAAATTAAAGAATTAAAGATATCATTACAAAATT